GTATCTAATGAAGTCAAGAAGCCAACTAATATAGGTCCATGGTTTAAGGAACTTTTCTTACCACTTAATTTCACTAAAAAGTGAGTTAGAATGCAAGGTCATTAAATTTAAATATTACAAGTGTCCTCTCAAACTAAGAGTGAGTTCTTTAAAAAGTAATAAAGAGTGATAACTTAAGATACTTTTCTATCATATATTTAATGTACATCAGAATAATAAAATATATAACATTGTGCCATTCTTTTTAATATTTAAATAAAAAAAATAATAGAACAAAATATAAATTATATTTAAATAAAAATATTAATCTTTTATCAAAATTAATATAAGTTTAAAAAATAAATTTTATTGAATTTTTTTTACTTTTCAATATAAATATGTAAAATTATATTTTAAAATAAAAATATTTAATATACATACAATATTAAATTTTGATATTAAATTATGATAATTATATTTAATTTTTCACAATTAAAATTTTTAGGTACGAAATTATAATTAGAACAAAAAGCTATAAAAATTTAAATTTTTATAAAATAATTAAAATATTTTTTAAAAATGGATTTTAAAAAATACACTTTTCTTTAATAATTATATATTTTTCTAAAAACATTTTTTATTAAAAAATTTCATATAGTTTTTAATGAAAATATTAAAATCATATTTTTTAAAAATAATATTTTATATAAAATTGTAAAAAAGGTATATAATACGTGAAACAATATAATAAAAAAAATATGATATCCTAATATTTTATAATTCATCACTCTTTTCAAGATAAAAAATTTGAACTAAAATAAAATAATTTATCCATCACAAAAGAGGGCCTAAAATTGGCTTAGATAGTCTCTTGAGATGCGAGAGGACCTCTTATTAGACTACATTTACGATAGGCCCAAATTGATTGTCCAAAACAAAAATCAAAGCAATGATTCAACAATAACAATATCTTAACCTTCCTATGTATATTGGCACCAAGAAACTCCCTTATCTTACAAAAGCCTTTAATTCATTGACAAATTTTGACTTTTTACAATTTTTAAATTTTTTTAAAATTACCATCAATACTTTATAATTTTTTGTTCTTTTGTTTATTTTACAAAGACCACCATATTTTTATAAATTTTAAAAAAATACTATATTTTAGTATATATTGTTTTTAAAAGTCATATTTAAAATAATTAACTATGGTATCCATTATTGCTAGAAAACAAAAAAATAAAAGTGGCCAAGTGGAATATTTAAATAGGATGTGACACTGTAGAGATAATTTCGTTCGCCTTTCCTGTCCATGAATTTATGAACAAAAGATTCACGTGTCATTTTCGAATTTGTTTTCTTGTGTAGCGTGAAAAGTTCATTTTTTATATAATTTTTTTTTAAGTTTAATCTTTTTTAAAATTACATTTCTTAAAAGTTCGATATAAAAAAATGATTGTTACTTTTTCTAATAATCCGAATGAAACATGTTTTAAGAATGCAATACTTTATACAGAATAATTTCTGCCTTTTCAGGAAAAGGAATTTGATTTATTAAAAATTTATTTTAAATAACAAAGTTTCTAAAAATAGTACTCTGGACATTGTTATGTCTAGATTATATTTTATTTATTAAAGATAATATATTTGAATCAGATAAGATTATTATACTCAGTAAAACTTTTTTTTTTCAAATATTCAATATAATTGTATTCGCTTGAAGCTTGAGATTGTAGGATAAGTTGAAATAACTCATTATTAGTTAATTTATGTATTTGATCATTCATTAAATTTTTAATAATATAATAATATTATTTATAAAAAAATAAAAATATAAAAAATATTAACCAAGTTTAACTATAGTTGTTCCTTTATTTCTGACACACTAACATTAAGTAAAAACATGGGATCGGTATAGTTTGAGGAACTTTACGTTAGAATCACTTTTAGAAGGAAAAACAAATAAAATTATTCTTGTAAATTTAAATTAATTTATCACTTTATAGTTTGAAAAATTAATTAAAAAGAATTAGAAAAAGAACATAATTTAATTTAAATTTATAAAAAAAGAATTTATTTATTTTATCTTTTTTATAAGCTTAGCAAATCACTACTCTCAAGAACGGAATTCAATGACATTTGTTTTCATTCCAATCATCAACTGAACCAATCTTATTTATCAAATTCTAGATAATTACTATTTTTTTAAAAAAAAATTGAGTGTATGTAAAATATACCATTAGTGAAGCTCCTTACAATAGATCTTGTTGATAGGTGACTTGTAAATATTTTTATAAGCATTTTTTTATATGTTTTAAGATCAACATGCCCTAAATTTAGTAAATTTGAGGAACTCAACTAAACTTATAATGTAACAAAACAATGTGAATGCTCTCTGCTTCCTTTGCTTTTGAGAATTGCAATTGTACGAGAAGGCCATGTATATTCCTTCACGTTATGCTACTACCTATGTTCTGTCTTATTCCAACAACTTCAGTGGAGCTTGAACCTTAAAGGTAACACGTCATTTTTCTTTTGTTGACTCTTTCATTTTCTAGGTTGGATTGTAATATTTTTATAATAATTTATTTATTTTTATTTTTCTTCATCAGATTACCCATCTTATTACTGTTATTTTTCTTCTCTTCCTATTCCAATAAGCTGTCATAATAAGTGGAGTCATCACTTTAACTATCGTGTGAGGGTAATCCAAATCGTTGTTGCAGTCATTACAAGTATCAAAATCCATCACTATAATAATGATATGATGATATTTTAGAAGACCCATAGTGATGACAAGAAACAAAATTATTACTAATAGTCATGATAATAATTATTATAATTTATTCTAATACAGTAATTTTAGTTTCTAACTTTAAATGTGTGATTTTTTTCTTATTTAACAAATTTTTAAAGGTTTTACTAACTGGCCAATACTTCTAGGACAATGATTAAAGACTTGAAAATGGTAGGCTTTTATTGAAAGTTGTATTGGACTACATTGGAAAACATGAGGAGATGTATATTTATTATGTTTTTTTGACAATTTCTCTGTGTATTTCATGACGCATAATAAGTAATTAAAAAATAATAAATTTTTATACAAAAAATATATCATATAGTTTTATTAATACATTATATCCTATGGTTTTTAATAAATGTATTTTTAAAAAATTACTTGTTTAATTAACGTGTTATATCCCCAGAGAGATGTTTACAATGACAGGCTGGTACCCATTATATCAGCACCCAGCCTTCTTTAGGCCCAACTGATTTTAATAGAATGAAATCGAGCCCAAAAATTCAGACAATTACAAGAACATTATATACAAGCCCAATCAATTTTTATGGTTCTATTATGATTAAAAATGAAGGGAGACTATGATTCTATTCGATTTGAGAAAGTTGCTTTTTTTGTTACCTTCTTGTGGCAGATGAAATGTCATAAGCAACTTTTCAGTTAATGATATTGCATATGGACTTTTAGAAAGATATATAAGCTCAATAACAAATATTTAATTCCTAACACAGTTGCACATATCTGGCACTCTTAACAATTTTCTTCTGCATAAAAATAAAAAATCTTACACATTTCTATACACTTTCATTTGCCCATTATTGATCGACTGTTATAGCTCACACATGCTCACATGATCCTGATTAATTGGGAAAAAAAATAGGACCAGAAAAGGGAAAAACAAGAAAAATAAAATAAAATAAATGCAATAATATAAATGCTATGGTTCTTGTTTTATTATTTGCTGAATTTTATTTTATTTAGTTGTTTAATGCTTTGTGTTTGCAATATTTGATATGCTATTCGTATCTTTTTCTAAAAATAATAAATGGTAATTCATGTAATAATTTATAAGTCTGTCATCTTTAAATATTGTATATAAGAGTTTACTATATCTATGCTCTTTTAAGTCCTTTAAAATATAAATTTATTGTACAAGTATATAAATATTAACCTTATCTTAAATTAACTACAATGCAAATTCCATTATCTCAGTTTTTTTTTACTATTGATTTTAGCGATGAATTACCAAATAAATTTATGATAAAATTTTCATTTATGTGGCAATCTACAACATTGATGTATGATTTTCTCATCCTTCAAGTATTATACATATCTTAAGAGTAGGATCTATATTTCTGCAGTGAAAAAAAAAATCACTTTAAATCAATGATAATTTTAACCATTCATTGTATTAAAATATTATTTTTATTATTTTTATATAAAAATATAACTGTTTTAATGACTAGATACTATAATATTTTTGAAGAGAATTCGTATTCTTAAGGGTATACATATATTTGTTTTATCTAACACTGTGAGTGGAAAATAATCTTCCTTTCATAAATTTTCCTTTTGAAACTTAAAACTTAATGTCACTTTATGTGGCTTAAAATTCTTTAATACACTGGAAGATATGTATGGATAGAAGAAAATATTTTAAATTAAAATATTTTTTCATACAAAACTAAGAAAAATTCCTTGAGGATAAATAAGAAATTAAAATGGATATTCAATATATAATTTTTGAAAAAAATTGTTAATTAGTTATTATATTTGTCCTTAATTGGATTGATATGCAACTCTTTTATGCGAAGTTGTGCAATTTGCAACTACTTTATGTATAAGAGCATTTAAAATAATTTATTGGCAAGCAAAAGAACAAAGGGTGAGTTCAACATCCATCACAATTAGAACCTAAGTGGTCATTACACAATCCTTGTTCATTAGAAACATATATAGTTGCTTCTTAATTATAACGAGCAATTTATATTTAGAAAGCAAATAGTAAAATGCTTCATTCATTTTCAATGCGAAGAATCTGAAAGATCACTTCCAGCATTAAGCTTTTGTACAACAGAATATATTAATTAATGATACATTCCAAACACCCTACATATAGCTATATTGGGTTGCTAAGAACATCCTTATTAGAAACATAGCATACATTAAGTATAAAATATGATAATAATTAAACTTTTTGCATGAAATCCAAAACTATCAATTAATATGGGGATGATGCGGGGGCCATAGAAGGTTCAGCTGTGAGATCCACAGCATCAAAAGGTTGTGGAGAAGTTGCTGAGAATTGCACAGAAGTGATGGGTCCTGGTGCCACAATACCTGAGCTTTTCATCTCAGCCATTCCTCGACGAGCATTTTCACCTTGTGATTCACACAACTTAGGAAGAAACACACCTATGCATTCAAAGTTCGAATATTAATCAGCATCATCATTTCGTTAAAATGTTCCTCTTTAAGATATTAATTAGCTTGTCAAAAAAACTTTCACCTAATTGGGTGTAATCGATTATCTTCATGGGGGTTTCTCTGTGAATTACTTATTTAGAAAATTGTGAAAAGATAAAACACACGTAGACATTGTTTGTTTTGAATTTATATATTTTTAGTAACATAATATAATCGTATTAAAAAGAAGAAAAATCTTTTATTAGAGTGAATATAGCCATAATTATATACGTATATGTTTGTTTACCTTCACCAGCAGCAAGGTTGAAGTAAAGGTCAACAACGTTGGGGCAGCTTTGGTAGCATTGAGGGGAGCAGAGTTTCTGTGTGAAGCGAGATTCAAGAAGAGAATCTGATGAGATTCCGAAGGATTTTCTGTTCAAACCACAAACCTTAACACATTGGTCTGTTTCAATGTGGTCCTTTTGTTTATCAGCTTCAATTTCTGATGTCTTGCATGTGTATGCTTCTTCTCCGCTCCTCTTCACACTCTTCTCAAGCACGCACCTTTTCCCTTCATATGATACCGCAAATGCACACTTCTCGTGGCTCAATTTCTCACATTCTATTGCTCCTGCACGCATCCATGTTTTCAAGGTTTATCTCCTTTCTAAATTAAGAAAAATGTACTGCTATATATATATATAAATTAAAACTATATGGGTGTATATGTATCGTAAAAATAATTAAAGTATTTCGAATACATATTTAAATTTTTTTAGTTTTCGATATATGCATCTCTTCTCTTTAAATTAATTAAGAAACAAAATCAAGTGTATTTATATTAAGAAAATAATCACTTTTTTTTTATTCTTAATAAAAAAAATTACTACAAATTATAATATTATCATACGCAAATTCTTATTACAAGCTCTAGCATACATTAAAACAAAAACAATTTTGCTCAAACAAATAATTAAACAAAATATAGTAATGGGTTTGGATTAATTAAGAACTTAACAGGTTTAGAGACTTACCAAGAGTTCCTTGCACGGCGACAAAAAATGCAAGGGCAACTATTACCAAACATCTCAAGCTAATGTTAGAGGCCATGGCTCAAGCAGAAGAAGATCGTTAAGATAGGCCAAAACTAGCTTGGGAGTTTGGAAATTTGGTATGGCAACTCTGTGCTTTGTAGTTGTAGGTGTGATGATTTATGGTTAATTAAGGAGTGTATTTATAGTGGTTTCTTAAAGAGCAAGTTTACCCTTCTTATTTAAATACGAAAATTCATATTTTATTAGGAGACGGACTTTTCAATACGATTTCAAAAGAGAGAACAGTAGTTTAGTTGTTTATAGAAGGTTGATTTAACTTACATGATAGCAAAATGTTCTCAAAATTCTGCCTGTTTTAATAGAAAGAAATAAAATAAATTAAAAATATTATAAAAAAATTAAAGAAAAGTCTAGCACAAAAGTAAGATAACTTTCGTTTTATTTTTTAAAAAGAATATTTTAAGATAAGTGTATATATAAATGATAAAAACAATTAGACTTTAATTTCGATACATTATCAAATACAAAAAATTTTATATCATCAAACATATTAAAATCATTTTAGAGGTGACTTTTAAAATAATTACTAAAAGAGTTAACAATTTTAATTATATAATAATATAAATAATTATATATGATATTAAATAAAATATAATATAAATTATTATGACATAATGCAAGGTACACATGGTTGAGGAAATAAGCCGTGTGAGTGAGGGTTGTATGGCAACAATGAGTACTCAAGTTTGGTTAATAGTCAACCATTTAGCCGCTATCAATGGAGGAACCGTTGTTCCACAGTATCTTATTTTTGAAACAAAACAAAAGATTGCTCCTCCTATTGGCTCCTCATATTGAAAGTAGTCTCATGCTGAAAATTACATTTTCTTGTGGTTATGTCAAAGCACACCGATATTTTATTACCAATAAGAATATAAAGCAGTGAAGCTAAGTTTCTTATTCACGACAAAATATGGTTCTCTTGATATTTTTAAGTACTATCATACTAATTTTTAATTTTGATTCTTTAAAATAAATAATGTGATTTTGACATAAACTTAATTAAAATGTATTGATAGTGTAAAATATTTTTAAATTATTAATTTTTTAATGATTATTCCAAAAGTTATACAAAGTAAATTTTGGTTTATTGTTAATATAAAACTTTTTACATCAACCATGTAAGAAATTAAACTAAAATCTTTTGTGTGTGTGTATATATATATATATATATATATATGTTAAATAATTTTTTTAAAAGTTATAAAATAAATATAAGCAACTCATTTTTAAAATGAAAATGGTTAAATTAAAAAAATACACACTTATTCGATACAAAACAAAGTATAATACTAGTGCAAAAATTGCATTGACAATGTTTCAATAGCTATGGGGATAGAAGAAAGATTCTTAATTTTTTTACATGATTTTTAAATTATATGTTGTGGGATACAGAGAGGAGACCTTGGGTTATCACATTAATGATTTTATAATGTGGCATTAAATAAAGAAGAAAAATAGCCGAATTTTGTCAGTAGAAGAACGAGAGATGAATTTAGATGTAGGATCCTAGAAAATTTCTGAAAGTATTAATTAGAACTAGCAATTTTACGAGAAAATCATATATAGCTAAATATTGGTAGAAGGTAGATTCATCGGTGCTCTATCCGGTAATGTCAGCATATAAAGGCTTTGTTTATATTATTATTTTTTTTATAAAATTAACTAAAAGTAGCTAAAATTAATTTTGAAAATTAAAATTTATTAAAACACTTTTTAGAAGCATTATAGTTGTAGTGCTTTTTTTTTTTTTTTTAATATAAGGCAATCTTGTTACTGTAACTGATAAATGATAATTTTTTTTTCTATCAAATAGAGGAAGTATTAACATCGATGATTGATTTTCATTTGGGTTTAAGATAAAAAGGATTGAATATATTAAAATTCATGTTTCAGTTCTGGTGTGAGTTTCTTTATAGAAAAAAAAAATAGCAAAATGTATTAAAAAATTAATATTATAATGGGTGACGAGAGATAAAATTAATATATATATATATATATATATATATATATATATATTTCATTCAATAACCAAAGCGGGATAAGATTGAAGATCTTTGGAAATCACCATTTTAGTCTTGATTGATTTTAGGGCAATATAAAATAATCTTTGAACTATGTATTATAACAAATCAACTATTTCTAAGGATTAATATTTGCAATCATCAGATAATTTAATTCTTGCTATCATTTAGACATTAAAAGCTCTAATAAACATGTTGATTTGACATGATAATGACAGTGCATGCACTATAAACTATTATTATAAACATATTTTTTATATCATAAATTATTTTAAAAAATAACTACTTTAAATCAAATTCTTTCTCTAATAATATAATAATGTCTTTAAAATAATAAAAAAAATTATATGACATTAAGTAAAAGACTTTGTTGTGAAACTTTACTTAATATTATTCTTAAAATATCCTTGTATTCTTGATATTTGTTTATTGTTTTAGCAAATGCTCGTCTACATTAGATGAAGTTTTAGTTAAGACACCTATTAGTAAATCTTTGACAGTTGAAGTGTTGAAAAATCTCAAATGTTCTTAAGATAGTGAAAGTTGATGTGACTTCAAGAATGAATGAGTTGGTGAGAAATAGAAGTAAGGTTAGTATGTTCAAAATCCCTTCCCTTCCCTTCCCTTCCCCTCCCCCATTCCCCGTTTCCAAATTGTAGTATTAACAACCCTCTTCTAAATTATTTTTTTCGTTTTTTTTATATTAGTAGTTTTAAGTGGATTTTTGAAGTGTTACTGGCTGGAGAAAAAAATTTTATTTGTGTCTGTTAAGGTGTGCTCACAGCTCTAAAATATAAAAAAATAATAATTAATTTTTGACATATTTTATTTGTAAAAACAAAATATTTTAGATTTTTAAGTATAAATATAGATCTAAATAATTTTTTAAATTTCTTTTGAATGTTGATGAACTCTAAATTTGTTGATACCTAGCTGCCTTGCAGTTCCAAAATAATTTTGAGAGATGAGTTAGTAATTTTTTATATAGATAATGATTATTGTGATGTATTTTTAATTATTATTCTAAATATTAATTATGTTATTATTGTCATAAAACTATTTGTTTAAAAAAATAAGTCTTAAATTTATTTTTGGTTATAGGAGAATTCATTATGTATGTATTTTCTTCAATTACGTGAATTTATTTAAAAAGTGTGAAAAAGTAATTATTTTAATATTATTCTTTAGTATTTAATTATGAGATATGTGTATAGAGATTTTTATTATTGAAAATAAATCCATTTTATGCATGAGAATAATTTTTTATGATGTAAATATTTTTAGAAGAAACTATATTAGAACTTTATAACGATGAATGAAAAATAATGGTTTATGTGTACTTATTTATATTTGACAAAGAAATAACTTGTTAGATGAAGTTGTCTATGTAGAGAATACTATCAACAAAGTAAAAATTTCTTTGCCGAGATTAATTATGACATAATATATGTAAGGAGAGCGCTATCTATTAAATGGAGCTATCTCCTAAAAGCATTCATTAATATTTGTCAAAAATATAAACTTTAGTTTATTATAATTTTCTATTTTATAAAATTTGTTTTTATTAATAGAATCATCATATTTTAAAAATAGATCTTATATTTTAATTATTTTAAAATACATTTTATAATTTATTTTAGGTCTCAATTTATGTTGGGTCAGCCTTGTTTATACATAGAAACGATATTGCTTCATTATAAAATCAAGGTATACTATAAACATTTAAAATAGAACAAAGTTAATTTAAAACTGTACAAATGGCAGAGAAACAAAAGAACTATTTAATGATATTAGATCTCTTCATTTGTCTTCTCTTTTTTTAAAATTTTTCTTTTCTTGGATTACGTAATTGCTTAAGGAATGTGATGGCTAGCTAAAATCCATTTTATAGTAATATTTTGGTGCTATTTTCTTGGAAGCTAGCTAGTGTTTGGAAAAGACTAAGGATCTCTCATCCTGGGAATAATAATTAACATATATCCAATTTCCTGGCTGACAAGTTTAGCAAAATAACAAAGGCAGAAAAAGAAAACTGCAAACGTGTAACGATGAAAGTATTAAGAATTGTAATTCCATGCACATTTCCTCTTTTGTGTGCAGAACAGATCATAGAACAAGATGATCAAGACACAGACTAAGAACAGTGGAATTAGTTATGTATTGACCACAATGTGATTTTTGTCTTTGAAGAAAAAACACTCATTCTTTGCTCTTGCAAAATAATATAAATAGTAACCTTTGCTCGTAATCATAAAACAATGAATAGTATATGTCCACACCAGAACCTCTCATTCTCGTAGAATGATCAATTATGTAATATTCGTGAAGTGGGATCCACTAAAAGGATGGACAATTTGACCTAATTTTGAAAAGTTTGCATTGAAAAAGTTTTTGTTAGGATAGGTTATACCACTTCTGTCATCTCTCCACTTCTAAAGAAATATGCCTGTTGACTGAGGAATATTCTTGATACACACAAATTATAATTATTAAAAAGCGAATTCATTGTATAATTTACTACAAGCTCTATTTATGGCAAGCTGAAGAATTATTCTAGTTAAATAATTATTAAAAATATAAAAAAAAAGAAGAAAAGGTTGCTCAGACATAACAAATTAGAACTTGATGGAATTATAATTATAATAAAATGCCTTTTTTGCGGATCTGCATATTTTTATTTGTATTTTTGTAAATTAAACCATAAAAATTACATAAAACAAATTAGGTTATAAGTATCAACTGCGGAAAAAAAAACTTGCAATTTTTTTTGTGCTTAATATTTATTAATTGTAGAAATTAACAATTTTTTTATAGTTAATAGGCAAAGGCTAGATTAAAACTCATCGTGACAAACCAAATAAAAATGTATATTTCATGACAGAATATATAGATCAACTTACGTAAGTTGTTACAAATTTAACCAGTGATCTTGAATTAAAATTTTAAAAAACTCAGCTTTTGTTAATTTTGT